TATTTAAAAAGTATTTTAAATTATTCTGAAATTTAACACTGTAGATAGAAATTAACAAATTTATTGAATGTTATGTGTCAGAACTATCTTAGATGACAGGAATTTTTCAGTGTACAAAATGGAGAAAAAAACCTCTTCCTAATGGAGTTTTGATTCTAGTGGGTATACAGACAGTCTCTAAGTCACACAGTCTTCAGTTGGTGCTCTGGGGTAAAAAAGTAGGTGGAAGGAAGAAGACGTGCACCAGATGGGGATTGTGGGTAGCTGTGGTGGTGGACCTTGCAATATTAACCTTGTAATTAAGAAAGGTCTTAATGCTAAGATGACAAAGATCTGGAGGAAGTTGAGGGTTAACCCACACTAGTACTTGGGGGAATGGTGTTCTTGGTTGAGGGACCAGCAGGTGCAAAGGCAGAGTTATTTAAGTTCTCTATAAGACTTGTTAAGTGCATGTCATATCATGATTTGGTAAAGTTGCTTTGTGCTTTAGGGAATGTAGATACTTAAAAAAATTCTGGCTTGAAGATTATAGTAGTGTAAAATGGTGGTTTTCTTATTTCTTCCTTTTCTGGACTTTTTTTTGAGCACTTTAAATGTATTCAAATATTTTGCATATATTTGTAGTATTTAGCACTACAAATATTCTACTTGTTCATTGGTTTGTATCTGTCTCTAGAATGACTGCTTCATGGGATGTTATCTCTCTTCTGTACTAGTAGTGCCTAGTGTATAGTCAGTTTCTCCTACTTGTTAAATGATAAGTAAATTATTAGCTAGGACTGCTTAGCAGTTCCTTATGAACTTACTGTCTATACAGCTGTACCAAGAACATTTCTTGTGGCTCTCTGTGTAAATGTGTATATATTTTTTTAAGGAGAAAAATTGAGTGGTTGTCTTTACACTTTATAACCTGGTGATCAAGCAGGTGGACATAAACTTGATTGTAGTTGTGTATTGCATTACAGATTTATACTCAGCTTACTTTGGGCTTTATATTTTGACTGTTAGGATTTTTTTCCCCTGAATTCTAATCTGTATTACTTGATCTCTTCTCATCTCTAATGGAATTTTTTTTTTTTTCCAGGATGTGTGATAGCTGAGCTTTTCACAGAAGGTGTGCCATTGTTTGATCTCTCTCAGCTTTTGGCATATAGAAATGGACATTTTTTCCCTGAACAAGTGCTAAACAAAATTGAAGATCGCAGCATCAGAGAATTGGTAACTATGCCACAAATATTTGCCATAAAGCTTTAATAAGAATATATCCCAGCCGGGTGTGGTGGCGCACGCATTTAGTCCCAGGACTCGGGAGGCAGAGGCAGGCAGATCTCTGTGAGTTCAAGGCCAGCTTGGTCTACATAGTGAGTTCCAGGACAGCTGGGGCTACAGGGAGGCCCTGTCTCAAAAAGACCAAAAAAAAAAGAATACATCCTATCTGTATTAGACCTTTGGAATACCACTTTTTCTTTTTCTTTTTTTTTTTTTAAAGACAGTTAAACCCTATAGACTAGGCTCAACTCATGGCAATCCTCCTGCCTCAGCCTCCTAAGTGCTAGGATTATAGGCATGAGCCACCCACTCATTTTTTTTCCCCCAACAAATTTGTAACAAGAGCCTATATAGATAACTATTTTATTAGAAATAAACGTACTGTTTTTTTCCTGTTAGGCCTAGAACACACTTGACTTAAAAATAAAAAAACTAAATCTATCATCTGTTGTTCCATGTGAATCTTCAGCTCTTCTTTAGAGAGATTTGTAGGGGACTGTTCCTCTGGGGCCTGTGTGGATTTTGGAGAGGTTGTCTTGGTTAGAGCTTGTTGCTGAAGAGTGAAGATGGATGTCTACAGCGATGGAGAGCAGGAGTATCTGCTTGATTAGAGTGTAGCAGGGCCTTTTCGTATGGAAGCACACGTGGGCAGCCCTGGAAGGGGAGCTACAACGTCACAACTTGGTGTAGCAGAACAGGTGTGGGAGCTCTGTGAAAGTCCCCTAGTCTATATTCCTTCCTTCCTTCCTTCCTTCCTTCCTTCCTTCCTTCCTTCCTTCTTTCTTTCTTTCTTTCATTTATTTATTGGTCTTTTTGAGACAGGGTTTCCCTGTAGCCCCAGCTGGCCTGGAACTCACTATGTAAACAGGGTGGACCTTGAACTCACAGAGATCTACCTGCCTCTGCCTCCCAGTGCTGGGACTAAAGCCATGTGCCACCATACCTGGCCCTAGTCTATATTTCTATGTTACCACTTGATGACGTCCTTTCAAAGTAGCTGGTACTTCTGATAATGACTCTGAGTCATGAGAAAGGTTGTGATGTATCTAGAATACTCCTTGGCAAAGCAGGGAACTATATAGTATGTTTTCTCTTAGCAGTGGCAAATAGTTCTAGGCCTGATGCTGCAGGCCTGTTATCCTGGCTACTCATGTTCAAGGCCTGCCTGAGGCACAGAGTGAGTTCAAGGGCAGTTTAGTGAGCTTGGCAAGTCCCTACCTCAAAATAGAAAAAGGCTGGGACTGTATTTAGGTGGTCAGCACTTGCCTAGCATGGATTCGCCTGGAGTCCTGGTGCTGGACTATAATCTCAGCACTTGGGAGGCTGAAGCAGATGGACCCTGAGATCCTGACCAGCTTGGACTATGTAATGAGACTCTGTTTTGAGGAAAAATTAAAAGTGTAAATATGAGAGTACGCAGCTTTAGAGGCAGTCAGTTTGGCTGGTGGCGAGGAGCCTTACCTTACTGGTCTTTCTTTGAGTATGGCAGTTTTTTGCCTTCTTACTTCAGCTGAGGAATTCCATGTCTTTGAGCCTAACATTTTCTTAAGTTTGAATGAAGTCAATTTGTTTATTCTTTGCAGCTTTAATGCGAATGTAAAAGTAATTCTTAGGTCATTTTTCCATGTAGTACACTTGATTCTTCCAGTTCAGAGCTAGTTTCTAGTTAGAATATAAAAAGAAGGATGAATTGGTGGATACATTTTTATACTTTATGTATTTAAGCAGTGGAAAGATTAAACCACTTTCTGTTGTATATTGAAAGAATTTATCTCCTTATATCGGGCGTATCATTGCTAGTGTTCACATTTTTCTTACATTATTTTTAAATATTTTTATTTCTTTATGGTGCTGGAGTTTTTTTTTTTTTTTTTTTTTTTTTTTTTTTCTTGTCTTTTTGAGACGGGGGTCTCCCTGTAGCCCCAGCTGTCCTGGAACTCACTATGTAGACCAGGCTGGTCTTGAACTCACACAGATCTGCCTGCCTCTCCCTCCCAAGTGCTGGGACTACAAGCGTGTGCCACCACGCCCAGCTACATAGGGCCTCACACAAGCTAGGCATGTCCTCTTCCCCTGAGTGTATTCATTTTTTTGTGAAGAACATCTGTTGCTTTCTTAAAGAGGAATGCTGACGAGGTATAACCTCCCTTTTATCTGTCATGGCTGTTTGTAGTACATTAGTGCGTAATTTCCTGTTGCTATCTAGGATGACATAAAGTTACATATCTAGTTGGTAAGTCCTGAAAGAACAATCAGACAAAGAGGAAAATAGTCAGAATTACCTCAGAAATCCTTTAAGTCACACATAAATTGCTCTTGTAATTTTTATCTGGTTTAATTTTGTGTGCATTTTTAATGTTTTTTAAAAATTTATTTTTAAATTTTTATTTTCTGTTTTTGTTGTTATTGTTTTGAGACAGGGCCTCACCTATGAAGCCTTGGCTGGCCTGGAACTTGCTATGTAGACCAGGCTGGCCTTGATCTCACAGAGATCTGCCTGCCTCTGCCTTCTAAGTGCTGGGACAGATGGTGTGCGCTACTACACCAGACATCGTTATAGTTAAAGACAGCCTTGTAGCCAGGCTGGCCCTGAACTCACTGTGTAGCCCAGGAGGCTGACCTTGAACTTGTCATACTCCTGCCTCAGCCTCTGGAGTGTTGGGGTTACAGATATGAGTCACCCCACTCCACTTCAATTCATGGTCTAATCTCTACCTTTCTCTTCTCCCCTTCACATAGGTAACTCAGATGATTCATCGTGAGCCAGAAAAACGTTTAGAGGCTGACGATTACTTAAAGCAGCAGCGTGGCAATGCCTTCCCTGAAATATTTTATACTTTCCTGCAGCCTTACATGGCTCAGTTTGCCAAGGAAACTTTTCTCTCTGCAGATGAGCGAATTTTGGTTATTCGGAAGGATTTGGGCAACATTATTCACAACCTCTGTGGACATGATCTACCAGAAACTGCAGAAGGGGGGCCCAAGGAGAGCGGGCTGGTTATCCTGGTGTCAGTCATAACATCCTGCCTGCAGACTCTGAAATACTGCGATTCCAAGCTGGCTGCCCTGGAGCTTATTCTCCATCTAGCCCCCAGATTAAGTGTGGAGATCCTTCTGGATCGCATTACTCCATATCTTCTGCATTTCAGTAATGACTCTGTCCCTAGAGTGAGGGCTGAGGCCCTGAGGACGTTGACCAAAGTCCTCGCCCTTGTCAAGGAGGTTCCTCGGAATGATGTCAACATCTACCCGGAGTACATTCTCCCAGGCATGGCCCACCTGGCCCAGGATGATGCCACGGTCGTTCGGCTGGCCTACGCTGGTAAGGTTTGCTGTCCTGATTACAGCCACTTCGGTTTTTAAGGGTTAGTGAATGGCAGACCTCTTGCTTTGTTGAGTTCTTTGGGGATTCCGGATGAACTTTGCTGTTTGAGCTACCAGTGCATACATTAATATTGATGGTTGACCTTTTCCTGGGGCTCCACTTCTGTTTATTATTTCACATTTAAAATGATCGTAATTATCAAGTTAAAGCTGTGTTTGTGGAATCTTACTGTTTTACTTGGAGTGTCACATTTAACTCCAGACTAGTGCTTACAAGTCCCTGCTTCTGATTGTCTTTTGGCCTTCACAGAGTTTCCCTGAACAAACCACTCTTGGCTTCTGAAGATGAATTTCGCTGAGTAACTCGGTGTGGAGAGAGCCTAGCATGTGAACTTTCTGGGTTTTAAGGCCCTGTTCCAATTATGTTAGTGCTCAGGACGCTTGGCTACTTTGTGAGGGATGAGTGTGTTCTGCAACACTTGTCCTTCCACTTGTAATTCTCACTCACAAAGGCAAATGGTACAGATTCGTGTTTCTAGTTCCTCGAATCAGTTATGAATGCTTACTTCACCATGGAAAATATCACTAAAATATTTACATAATTCCATAAGTTATGTCTGTAGTCAAGTGGAAAGTAGACCTTCTGCTTTGAAGTCTTCGCACATGTGTGGTGATAGTATTGGCACGGTTTCGGAAGAAACCTGATGAGTTCGTTTATTTTGTTATTTGCCTGTCATTATTTTAATAGACCATGTGAAAAATGGTCTTTGGGCACTAATTTTATCTTTAGGCACACCCCGAAAGGGATAGGTAGTTGTTGGGGTGTTTCTCCATACATATATTGTTACTTACTGATCTTTGCCTGTTTATTTGTGGCTTCTTGTTTCCACTTTGTATTATGTTGCTGCGTGCGTCTTGCGGGCGCGGTTTTCGCACGTCGTGCTTCTGGGCGGGTCTCTGGCTCTCTTCGGCTGCTCGGGAAGTGTAAGTGAGTCTGCAGGTCGGCGGGCCTGCAGACTGCCGGGAGGGTTCTGTGCCAAGCTGCTGGACGCTCCCTCTGTGCACGCGATCCGTTGGCCACCGGATCACGAGGGGAGGTGCAGGAACAGCGAAAGCAAGATCTTCGCGAGTGGTTGTTGACGGAAGGATAGCCCCCTCCGGGAAGACTGAATCACAGGCTGGTTCCAGGCTCAGTGAGACACAGATACAGCTCCAGACAAGTTCAGTGATACAGCTCCGCTTTATTGGGGTGAAACCAGAAGATTTATAGTGTGGAGGCAGTAGCAAAAGCCTCAGCTGATAGGTGCTCTGTAGGATGCTTTATTTACATATGGCGGTGGGCTTCTATGCTGTCAGACAGTGCCTGATTATCCCCTAGGGACAACCTGGCAGTTTCTATGCCAGAGGTCATGTATCTGTGGTGGCCACTTCAAAGGTGAGTCAGGAAGAAAGTAGGAGGCGCCCTGCTGGAAAGGGGAGTCTCTGCATAAAAACGCCGAGCCCCTTGGGCTATCCGGACATGGAGAGACTGCGACCCAAACAGCAGGGGTCCCCAACATCTCCCCCTGTTTGATTTAAAAATGGAGAAGTGCCATCACAAGCCCTAAGAGCCAACTCATTTATAATAGCCTATTTATAATTCATTGGCAATCAGGTAAATCAATTAACATATAAGAAACATCTCCAGGTTTTTAAAAACAGCACTTACCATTTTTACTAATTTTATAACCTGGCTTTTTTGGCTTATTGCATCTCATCTGTTCTCACTGTGTCAAGTAGGTAAAGTCTGATGTGCAGGTATATGTTAACAGTGATGTCCAGTGGCTGCTGTGCCTTCAGAACCCTGCTTGCTGTCAAGGCATCAATTGCTCAAGGTTGCTGCAGGAATTCGTTTTGAGATTTTGCAATTAGTCCTCACAGCAGTTTGAGTAATAGATGTTATATTAAGAAAGATGAAATAACACGACCAACTGTATCTGGTCTAATTTTTGATTCTTAGAGCTGCTGGATTAGAACTTGGGTTTGAGACAGTCTTGCTTTTCAGTCCTCTGGGTCTGTACAATGAGAGCCCTCAATAAGTCAGGCTCCTTTCTGTATCATGGTAAATAGCCTGAGTAGACCAACTGGCCTTTTTGAATTTGGGTGGTTAATTAAATCATACATGTCAGTAAGTATAAAAGCTTAAAATGAACCTTTTTTCCTTTACAATATTCTTTTTTATCTCCAAAGATGCTGGATTTATATTTCATAAAAGTGAATTTGCAAGTCTGCTGTCTTTGTCTTTATAGAGTTAAATGGGGAAATAAACATAGGTCACTTCAGACTTTCAAAGGGAAGAACATTTCCCTATTAAAGGTGTGTAGTCAGCCCTTCATGTCTGAGTTCCTACATCCATGGACTTAGTAAGGTGAAGATGGAAAATACTTGAGGGAAAAAGTCTTTATAAAACATACACAGGCTCTTTTGAGGGGGAGGTTATTCCCTAAGCAATATTATATAATAACTATTTACACAGCATTGTATTAGGTATTAGAGTTTGAAATGTAGTCTAGAGATGAGTTAAAGTAAATGGGAGGATGTGCATAAATGATAAATGTGTTATCTTTTTATACAAGGGACCTGAGCATCTGCAGAGTGGTTCTAGAACCTCCCCCAGCCATGGATGGATACTGAGGGACATACAAGCACTCACTGGAGTGGAGATGTTTATCTACAGTTGGGCTTATTATCGGGCTGTGTTCTAGAATCACTTGTCTTTGGTTTACTTGCTTGGTGCTGGGATCAAATGCAAGCCCACTGTGCATTCATACCCCTCTTAGGGTAAGCAGGCAATATGGGATACTAATATCTTGCAAGAGGTAAATTTTTGTTCTTTATGTGGTGTATATGTGTGTACATTTTCATGTATGTATATACCCATATAGGTGCAAGTTTGTGTGAGGGCCAGAGGTGGATGTTGGGTGTTTTTCCCCATTTTGTTTTATTTATTTATTTTTGAGACAGGGTCTGTCCTGCCCTAGAACTCACTGTGTAGACCAGGCTGGTCTCTATCTCTCAGTGATCCGCCAACTTTGCGCCCCCACCCCCCACCAGAGGAATCGAAGGCATGAACCACCACACCTGGCTCTTCACCTTGTGTTTTTGTGGTCAGGTATCATTATCAACTTGGTACTCATAAATTCAGCTATGCTGATTGGCCGGCAAGCCCTAAGGAATCTTCCTGTCTCTGCCTCCCTAGCACTGGGATTACAGGTGTGTGCTGCCACATCCACCTTTTTACGTGGGTGTTGGGGATCTGAACTCAGGTCCTTGTGTGTGGAAGCACTTTACTGATTGAGCTATATCCAAAGGCCAAGGTTTTGTTTTGTTCAGAGGAATGTTGGACTGGCAGGGCTGGGGAGTAGGGCCCCAGGATGAAGAGAATTGCTGCATCTGATAGACGCAAAGATCTGACTACTATAAGGTGGGTTAGGGTCCATAGGTGTTACAAAGTAAGGAAATGTGGAAGCTGTGGATTTGACCTCTGGCACTGAAGGAAAGAAATGGTCTTAAGTTTTAGGTTTAAAGTAGCTGAGTTGTGTGTTCAGTGTTACCGTTGCTAGAAAGGGAAGGAGTATAGTCTTTGACTAGTCAGTCACAGAAGCAGGAGGCCAGAGGAGGCATTAGCAGGAGGAGGTACAAATAGAAGGGTAGTGAAAGAGAAGAACAGAAATGATGGTGGTAAGTGTGCAGGTAAACCAAAGTGGGGAGGAGGGTTGGCTGTGGATTAGCAGAGACAATCCAGACCTCAGAAGAGTGGCCTGCAGTCTCATACTTTGGTTCACTGAGAATTTCAGAATATTACTTGGAAAGCAGTCTAACAATGATTGATTCAGCCTAATGATGGCTCTTTGAGGTCATTGTGACCTCATTTGTATGTATAAAGACTTATGAAGTTTGGCATGGTGGTGTACACATCAGCACTCTGGAGACAGAAGCAGGAAGATCTAGTTTGAGATGATCCTGAGCTGCATAATGAGCTGGAGGTCACCTGGGCTACATAACAAAACCCTGTCTTAAAGAAGCTAAAAGGGCTTAGGGAGGAAATGTTATAAACACCATAAAGATTTAGGGTTACAATTAATTTTCAGTTTTTATTTTACAGAAAACATAGCTCTGTTGGCTGAAACAGCTCTGAGATTCCTGGAATTAGTGCAGCTAAAAAATCTCAACATGGAAAATGACCCTAATAGTGAAGAAATGGATGAAGTTACACATCCAAATGGGAACTATGACACAGGTTGTATTATCTTTTTAGTGTCAACTTGACACACCTGGGTTGAGGGAGCCTCAATTGGGGAATTTCCTCCATAGGACTAGCCTGTGGCCATGTCTGTGGGGCATCTTCTTGATTATTGAGTGATGTGGGAGAGTCCAGCCTACTGTGGGTGGTGCTACCTCTGGGCAGGTGGGCCTGTGTTGTATAAGAAAGCAAGCTGAGCAAGCCAGTAAGCAGCAATCCTCCATGGCCTGTGCTACAGCTCCTGCCTCCAGGTTCCTGCCCTGAGTTCCTACCTTGGGCTCCCTGATGAACTGTGACCCTGGAGATGTAAGATAAATAAACCCTTTCCTCTCCAAGTTGGTATTGGTCAGAGTATTTTGTCACAGCAATGAAGAAACAAATAAAACACTGTCATTTGTTATTTTCATGTAAAGTGAAGGAATACCAGATAATAAGCTAGGAAGGTCCCTGGTACCTAATTATTTTTCTGTCCTTGTAAGCTGTCATTTAGCAAATGGCCAGCTTGTCCTGGAGATTCCAAACTTGTTTTTCATCCAGAAGTGTTTATGTGAACAGTGAAGCCACCTCAGTCACATGATTCTCATTAGAAAGCGGAAACAGCTCAGGAAGCTCACCCTTGTCTCCTTACAGGAGTGCATTTTGTGTATCTTTAGTTATAAACTATTTTTATTCATATTATCTTTGATTTACATATCAAAGTCTACTCTTTTACTGTAAAGAATCATCTGTGATCATAAACTCATTGAGTTCTGTGACCTAGGTTTCTTTATATCTACACAACTGCTAACAGGTTTTTATCAAAAGATTTAGAAGTAGAATTCAATGGCTTAATAGTAGCTCTATTAAGAACTATTGGAGAAATTTAGTTTATAGGCTTTTATGATATAGACAACTGTAATGGAAAGTGAACCTGTTCAGATACTGAATTTAGCCCTGGAGGAGCTAAAGTTACCTTTAATATGAGAATGCAGTTGCATGTCAGATGGTTACCTTTCCTTTGAGAGTAGCTGGGCGGAGCAGGATTGGTTTGCCCTCTTTCCTTCAGTCAGCTCTATAGGAATCCTTGTGCTCACAAATGGACATTTTAGTAAGGGAAAGACAGACAACAAGTAAATAAATGACTAGGACAAGGTCAGAGACAAGCTGACACATAGACCATATAAAGGACTTAAAATATGTTTCCTGGACTTCTAAACTATAATCAACTTATTCCTTTAAAAAATTATTTATTTATATGTGTATCAGTGTTTTGTTTGCCTGTATATAAGTGTACCCATGCTGTGCAAAGCCCTTGGAGGCCAGAGAGGGTGTTGGACCTCATGGAATAGGAGTTATTGGTGATGATGATTAGCCACCATGTAGGTACTAGAAATCAAACCTGGGTCCTCTGCAAGAGCACCCAGTGCTCTTAACCACTGAGCCATCTCTCTAGCCCCATAGTCAGCCTGCTGTTAAAAATGCTTTCTACTGGAGCTGAAGAGATGGCTCAGTGGTTAAGAATACTGAATATGCTTGCAGAAGACCTGGGTTTGAATCCCAGCACCCACATGGCAGCTAACAACTGTCCATAACTCCAGTTCCAGAGGATCTGACGCCGTTTTCTGATCTTGGTGGGCATTGTATGACACAGGTGTGCTTACATACATGCAGGCAATACACACGTACACATAAAATCAAAGTAATAAAATATTTTTAAAAACTTTCTACCTGCTCCCCATTATGTGTGGCAACAGAGGGAATTGGTACCGGTGGCTTCCGGACCACACTGGTTCTATCCTCAAGTGGCGGAACATGGGTCTCCGGGGAAAAAAAAACCAAAAACTTTCAAAAGGATCTAAGGTGTAGCTCACACCTGCCTAGCACATGTGAGACCCTGAGTTCAATCCCTAGTACCAGAAAACAACAGAACAATGAAAGCAGCTCTGAGAGTTGTACCCTGCCCCCAGTCTGCTATTCTCAGACCCTTGCTGATCTTTTGGGGCTAATGAGCTGTCCTTTCTGGTGCTTCTTCCTCATTTCCTCTTGAGCTCTTAAACAGAGCCATTTAGTGAGTTGATAAGTACCCCCACAGTACCCAGTTGTTAGGAAGTTCTTTAGTTTATATTTTGGTTTCCCATCCACAGACATGTGAACAGTGGAAAAGCTTAGCGAATACAGACTATCTGGTAGCTTCTGTGATCGTTCCATTACTCCACTGCAGAAGAACAGAGATAGGGCTGAGTAATTCCAGAACTTTGGAGGCTAAGGCAGGAATATGAATTTAAGGCTAGCCTGGGCTAAACACCTACTTGTAAGACAGCCTGAGGTATATACCAAGACCCTGCCTCAACCAAAAACAACAAAAAAAGAATACCCGGCCTATACAAATGGGGGGAAATTGATCCTTCTTTTTATGTTTTAGAGCTCCAAGCCTTACACGAAATGGTCCAGCAGAAAGTTGTCACTTTGTTAAGTGACCCTGAAAACATTGTGAAACAGACTTTAATGGAGAATGGAATAACGCGGCTGTGTGTCTTCTTTGGACGTCAGAAAGCCAATGATGTTCTGTTGTCACACATGATCACCTTCTTAAATGACAAGAATGATTGGCATCTGCGGGGGGCTTTCTTCGATAGCATAGTTGGTATGTTTTGCTTGTTTTTAAATCCATCTCTGAGATTACAAATTGCCCTTCCAGAGGACATGATGGCTCAAGCCTTTAATCCTAGCTCTTGGGAGGCAGAAGCAGGTGGATCTCTGTGAGTTCAAGGCTAGCCTGGTCTGCATAGTGAGCTCCAGGACAGCTGGGGCAGACCCTGTCTCAAAAAGACCAAACCAAACCAAACCAACCAAACAAACAAACAAAAAATTACCCTCCCAGATACTTCCATTTGGCTTGAAAGCTTTGCTAATAGTGAAATGAGTTCTTAGTATTTCTGTCTGTCTTCATGTTGCTTTTAGATGGAGTATTCTAGCTGAGTCAAGTTGCAGCTTAATCAATCTGTGGTATATCCATGTGAAGAAATGGCATGTGGTCATTGAAAACTGTGTTTTAAAGAATAATGACCAGGGAAAGCAAGTGAAGCAGGTTTTCAGCTTTCTTGAAGTGTGAGCCCAGTAGTGGAAAGGTAACAGTAACAGAAATGTTTGATGTCTGAGAAAAAGCTGCGCTGAGCTATCCAATAGCGTCTGTCATTTGGCCTAGGGTGGTAGGTGGTTGCTTTGTTTACATTGTCCGTCCATATGTTCAAATTTTTAACAGTAGGCATAGATTATTTTTCTTTAAAAATTTATTTTATTTATTAGGTGGGGCATGTGTGCCACGATGTGCATGTTGAGGTCGGAGAACAGCTTTTGGGACTTGGGGATTGAACTCAGGTCTTTAGGGTTGGCAGCAAGGGCCTTTATCCACCAAGCTATCTTGCCAGGCCTATAGATTAATTTTCAAATCAGAAAATACTTAACATATAATTATGGTTAAGAAGCAATGTACTAGAAAGAAAATTAAAATTTACACACTTGACTTTACGTAAACTGAAATTTTATTTTAAAAAATTAAGCAACATCTATTTTCTTTTGTCTTGCTGTCTTGATTTTCAAATTTAAGGAAGATGACATCTTATGTTTTATCTGCATGATTTCTGTTTATATTCAAAGTTTTCAATAAATGAAGTAGATTTTATTTTGAGTGGGTTAAGTCATATTTAATGAAAGATTTCACATTTTTCTCTTTTGAATAATAATTGATCTTTCCACCCAAATGATTTGATCTTTTCAGTTTTAGGTTATGCCAGTTATGGAATATTATGTTAAGTTAAATCTTGCCTTCCTTCTCACATGGTTGTAACAGCTTGTCTGTTACCCCTACAATGTTTAGACTTTTATATTGGAAATTGTGACTTTCAACTTCCTTTCTCCTGAGATAGCAGAAGCTGTAGCCTTTAAGTTTTGATTTCCAATAATCTGGGCAGGTAAGTGCTATAGGTTTGCTGTTAGAGTGCATCTCAGCCTTTTGACTGCAGTCAAGTCTGTAAGCTGAAACATGAAAGAATCCCTTATTGCAGTGGCCTGCTGTCTGCACATGCTATCACGTGATGTTTAAGAGGAAAGCACACTTTTTGCTTTCAGAATGTTTGACATTTCTTGCTTTGTTGCTACTGGCAATTACCAAAATTTCCTTTGCAGATGTCTTTCACTTGTTTTTATTTTGGCTTTAGTTTATTTTGATGTGGGTAAGACTTGTGTTTAGAACTCATCCCACCAAGCTCTTGGATTCGGTTTGCTTTGCTTCTCACATTTTTTCTTGCTTGCTTGCTTCTCCTTCCAAAGAATATTACTTCCTTGGGAAAAAAAGTGGTTTGTAGAACTTCTCCCATCTGTCGATTAATTCATTAATTCATATGTGTTAGAAGTACATCTTTAGGGGCTGGAAAGATGGCTCAATGGTTAAGAGTACTGGCTGCTCTTGCAGAGGACCCAAGTTCAAATCCTAGTACTCACATGGTGGCTAACAGCCATCCATAATTCCAGTTCTGGGGGATCTGATGCCCTCTTCTGACCTCCATAGGCATTGCATGACACAGGGGGCACTCACATACATGCAGGCAACACACTCATACACATAAAATTAAAATAAATAAAAATTAAAATAAATGCATCTTTATATCACTTCTTTTTAAATTTAAAATTCAAAGTAATACATACATAGTATAGAAAACTTGGAGAATGCTGACAGCCTGGAGAAAACAGATACCTTTACTCCTTCACTCTGTGTACGACCCCACTACTGACCTGGTGTGTTTCCTTTTTTATCTCCAGTCTGACACAGCTGCACTATGGAGCTAGGTTGTGGGTTCAAGTTCTGGCTAGTTCACTTACCAAAGGTTCTGAGGACAATCATTTGATCTCTTTTGTGTCTTAGTTTCTTTTTATGTAAAATGGGAATAACTGTTAATGCCTGTCTCTCTGGTTGTTGTGAAGATGAAATAAATTAGGATATGTAATATTGCCTGACAGTAGGTACCATGCATCATAGTACTTGCTGATCTGTTTTAAACTTCAAAAAAAACTAAGCATTTTCTAATGTTATTAAAAGTTCTTTGAAACAGTACTTTAATAGATTCAGATTATCCCATTATTTGATCTTACCAAAATTTATTTAATCTTTATCTTGGATATTTAAGTTTTTTGTATTTTGTATTTTGACAGGGTCTCACTGTGTAGCCCAGATTGACCTTGAATTCAAGATCCTCTGGACTTTGCCTCCTTTGTCCTGAGTTTGCAGGTATGTGCCACCACACCCAGTTAATTTTTATTTTTAATCATATTATTTGAGTATTCTTTTACATATTTATCTAAATAACAAAATTAATTAGGTATTTAAGTGTAGTCAGGTGCTGCCTAATGATGGAGATTTGTTCTGAGAAACAACCTAGACAGCTTCATCATTGTTCAAATGAGTTATTTTACATCCTCTTGAGGTGATATAATCCTGTGGGACTATTGTCAGATATTGAAAGGTTTTTTTTTTTTTTGACCAAAGCATTAGTTAGTATGTGACTGCATTTATTTCTGATTATTTTCTGAGAGTAGGAGTATAAAGTTCTATGTGGAAAATTTGGATTCAGTCTCAGCTATATAGAGAGACCCTATTCCCCCCGCCCAAATTTTGTAAATTATTGAGTTAAAGAATATGAGTGTAGTTACAGGCAGTCTTCTAGTTTCTTCCCAGTTATAAACTATTCTTTCTGGAAAAGACTATGAATATACTTAAAAAAACATTGATGCTTTTTATAAGCATTTCAAGAAGACTTACTCCCATCAGCAGTAGTTACTGCAGCCCTCACACTTGCAGCCAGGAATAGGCTTTACTTAATCTTTGCCTGTTAGAAAGATAAAATAATTGATTTTTATGTATAATTTTTGCTTACTGATCAAGTTGCAAACCCTTTTTATGTTATTTACTTTTCATATTTCTTTATCTTTTATTATTTTTGTTCTTTTTTCTGATGGCGTTATATTTATGTTTCATTTTTGAGTTTATAATAATAGAGTATTAACTTTATCATTTTAAAGGCAAACACTTTTCTCAATTTCAATTTGGTTTTTTTATGTATTTAAAATATCTTAGAATGCTTAGCTTAAAAAGGTTTTTTTTTGGGGGGGGCTTATTTTTATTTTAATGTATTGAGTGTTTTGCTTGCATGGGTTTAAGTGCACCTGTGTTATGCAGTGCCCATGGAGGCTAGAGAGCTGGAGTTGAGGTGGTTGTTAGTAGCTCCATGGGTGCTGGGTACCAAACCTGGTTCCTCCTTAAGAGCAGCCACTGCTCTTAACTGCCCGTTTTGCTGTGTAGTTCACTATTCTCTAGGCTCAACCTCCCTAGCCTTGGGATTACAAGCATGCATGTGCCATCATACCAGACTCTGAATGAAAATTTAACTGGCTCATAATCAGGCTAATCTCTTCCTTTGTTAGTTTTTAAAATGTTGATCACTATTTTTAGTGTGGTTCAGTCTTTAGAAGTTTATATAATTCAACATATTTATTATTGCCCTACTTTTGATTTGTAGTATAAAGGGATTAATGTCCTTCCCTCTACATATCTGCGCCTCCCCCCTTCAGTCATTTGAATTCTCAACAATTTCATTGTCATAGTCAAATTTACTTTGTATTCTATAATTAAACTAAACTTATACTATATAATTATTCTATAATTATACTAAAGTGTGTTTTGTTTTGTTGTTTTTTAGTTTTTTGAGACAACATCTCCCTGTAGCTCCAGCTAGCCCGGAACTTGCTATATAGACCAAGCTGGCCTTGATCTCATAGAGAGTCACCTGCCTCTGCCTCCTAGTGCTGGGATTACAGGGGTGCACCACCACATCTGGCTAATCAGATCTTTTAATGGAGTGATTCTAATGGCTCAGAATAAAGTTTACATTGTAACAAATGTGTAACTCTTTTTTTGGGGGGGGGTGTTTTTGAAACAAGGCCTCCCTGTAGCCCCAGCTGGCCTGAACTAGCTATATAGACCAGGATGGTCTTGAACTCACAGAGATCCTGCCTCTGTCTCACCATGCCCAGTGTAACTTTTTTTTTTAATTTTTACTGAATTTTTGCAAATTCCATACAGAACATCTCAATCAATCTTAATCATCTTTATACCCCCATCCCCACTGGCACCCTCCCATAGACCCCCACTGGAATTCATACATTCTGTCATTGTGTGAAAACCTATTGTATCAAGTTAGTGTCCCCAGATGTTCCTCAGTACAAGTTCATCTACTGAGGTCTAGTCAGCTTATCTAGATTCCCTTGCTTTAGGAAGATCAGTTCTTCCTCTCCTAGGAGTAATCAATTGCCAATATTTCTTCAGCTAAGATTGGGATCTGCTGTCCATTTCCCCAGTTCTATGCTGGATTTTTGTCTGCTTGAGTTTGCCGGGGACGTGTGTGCTGACACCATTGCTATAGATTCATATGAGCAGGGTCCCAGGAGCTTGTAGGACTCTATTTCCATATGGTCCTGTACCTCCTCCTTGGCTCTTACAATCTTTTTGCCCCCTCTTCTGCAATGGTCCCTGAGCCGTGGATAGGTGAAGTTTAATATAGGAGTCCTGTCCAAGGACCAACCATCTACAGACTCTTAATCTCTACTTCTTGGCCATTTGTGACCTTTTGTGTCCCTGGTCCTCTGTTGCATGAGGGAGCTTCACTGAGAGTTGAGAGATTCATTAGTGTCCTCTTCTTTACCCCTGCTCTATGTTCCATGAGCCTTAGGTGCAGAGGTTGCATTGTAGATGTGTTACTTAGGCCTGGACAATTCATAGACAATGTCTATGTGTGACCAGTTATGGTACTTGGTAATAGTTTATCCAGTGCAAAAGAAGTTTCTTTGATGAGTGGTGACTGGGATATTTGTCTGTAAATATAAGGATACATATTTTGTACATAGTAAGAAGTTACTTTAGTCTAGGGATGTGACAGTCTTGGGGTTTTCACTAAGATCTATGATCTCTCCAGCCATGTGTATTTGGTTAGGTTTATAGTACCACACTTGAGTTTCCTCCCATTTTGTGGGCTTTTAGTCCAATTAGGTAGCTGTTGATTGCCCCCAAGATAAAAGTGCCACTACTGCACCAATGTCGTATGCTGTACCAGTCATTGATGTAGTTATTTGGTCTTGAAGCTGGTGTTGAATCATTGATTGATGTTTTCCCTTGGCACCTTCACAGTGTTCTCCAAAGCTATGAGAGCTAGTCTTCAGGAGAAGTGGCTTCCAGGTCAATTCGAGGTCCATTACTCCAAGTCCTGTGTCCAAAGTATGTTCTGTTTCCAGCAGTAGGAATTACCTAGACAATCAAGAGCTGTGGCAATAACCTGTGTAATTTTGGAAGTCTCTTGGATCATTCTGGCCAGCAACTCAAAGGATGGTATCTTTTTTCTGGCACTGTTTCTTGTTATGTAGCCTTTAGCTATACACATGGACTCATGCAGAGATACTCTATATGTAATTTGTCATTAGGTTGTTGGACTAATGTGGTTCCCTCTGGTTTTTTAAAACTGGCTAGGCATTGTTTATCTCTTTCCTCTCTCTCCCTGTCTAACCTTTCCACCATGGCTTCCTTCACACAAATGTGTAACTTTTATTGACTAAGAGCCAGATAGCACAGTAGGATTACAGTTGCTTCCTGACATCCTGGTTCCCTCACTTCCCCCACCTGAGTGTGTGTGTACCCACAGCAGTGCATCCTTTTCTACATCTTTTAGTGACTAAATGCATGGCACATTTTACTTCATGTTGACCTGACTTCTGTCTGCTCAGGCGTTGTAGATTTCTTTGTTTTCCTTGCTGCACCACATCTGTAATATTTTGCTTCTTTCTTACTAGTGTTATTTTTTGCTTGGAATCTGTTCCACTTTTCCCTTCATGATTTCTGAAATTGTGTGTGGGGAATGTGTGGGAATGTGGGGATGTGCGTGCACGTGTGTGAGCATGTGTACAGAGGCTGGAGGTAGACATTGGGTGTCTTTGATTGCTCATCACTTTTATTTGAAGACAAGGTCTCTTACTGAACCTGGAGCTCATCCATCCCTTTAGGCTGACTGCTTGCCAATGAGCTCCTGCCCCCAACCCCACCCAGTGCTTGGGTTCTAGACTGGGGATCTACACTCAGTTCTCGTGCTTCCAAGGCAAGGCGCTTTATCACCTGAACCAGCCCCCAGGGAAGACCCAGACATTCTTGAAGTACTTTTACCTATGATTTGGGCTGAGTGATCTTTGTTCATTAGCTGTCATCTTTTTCTTCTTTAAATTCCTAGGCTAGAGCTGCCGCTTTGCACAGTCTACATCTTTATTTTTCCATTGGAAAGGGTGGATTAGGAGGTAAACCTCTACAGTCCTTGCATGTCTTGACATGACTTACTTTGTTTTCTTTTTTTGTCTTTTTTTGAGACAGGGTCTCCTTGTAGCCCCAGCTGTCCTGGAACTCTGGAACTCACTCTGTAGACCAGGCTGGCCTCGAACTCACAAAGATGCACTTGCCTCTGCCTCCCAAGTGCTAGGATTAAAGGCGTGCGCCACCACGCCCGGCACTTTGTTTTCTTATCACTGACAGTTTTAGGAGACCTGTTTTCTCTTTTGTAAGTTCTTAGGGTCTTCACTTTTCCTTGGCACCCCGGAATTTCTTGATGATTGACTTTGGTGTGGGTCCTTTTCATTTGTTGTGCTAGGTAGGAAGTGCAGTGTCCTTTCCCAGACTGATCAGAGTGTTCACCGTGGTTAATTTTAATGTTACTGAGTGATGCATATTTTCAGGCATTTGATACTTATGTGATGCTGCTTTTCGTTTCCAGGTGTTGCCGCCTATGTGGGCTGGCAAAGCTCCTCAATCCTCAAACCTCTGCTCCAGCAAGGGCTCAGTGATGCTGAGGAATTTGTTATTGTGAAAGCTCTTAATGCCCTTACCTGTATGTGCCAATTAGGGCTGCTCCAGAAGCCCCATGTCTATGAATTTGCCAGTGATATTGGTAAGTCTCTGTTTGTGAAACTTAAGAGTGGGTGATAAGAGCAGGAGAATAACATCATAAAATTTCCGTGTAATTAGAGTAAGAATAGCAGTTTTACCGCTCCAGCTATTGCTGTGTTGGTATACTTATATACTTGCAGTATGTATGTGAGTGAGAGGCAGACAGCACACTTACTTGATCTTCCACCCCTGGTTGGGAAATAGTGATTTATTTTCATCTACTGTTAAGTCTTCGTGTCTCTTCAGAAAAAGTTTTTTAAAATGTTTTTTTATTTTTTATAAAACATGTAGATAGCCTTGACTTCTAAGTTTAAACTTGTTCTTGCTGCTAGGGCTATAGCTCAGTGGTAGAGTATGTGTTTATCATGCATTAGGCCCTGAGTTTAATCTCCAGCACTACAGAACAAAACTCAGAAACTGGAAACTTCTATTTTAGAACATTGATCACTCGTCAAGTTGACAATAGGGTGTGGAAAATCATCTGTGACATCTCTTCCTCTGTTCGTTGCCAGTAAAGAATTCATAGTATTGAGTGACTTACATCAGAAACTTTATGAACTAGGAATTTTATTTCTCGACTGTATAGCATTCATCTGTTTCCATCAAACTTAAAATTTAGAATAATAGCAAACAAGTAAATATGGAAAATTTTACAATTTAGACTATTTGGTGTCTGAAGAAGTGTGGAAGGGTTAGAGCTCCTGTCTAGGAAGGAGGGAGGGAGGGAGGGAAGGAATAAGGAAGGAAGGACATGTGGAAATTTTAGTCTTATTGTCACTTTATGTTGAGAAAGGAAGCAATGTAAGATGGCTATTTGCCTCTGTATGGAGAAAAATAATAAAAATTTAAGTTGCATTATGTTTTTCTGAGTCAGGTCTCAGAAAAAAGTTTTTTTTTGATTGCTGAGGAACTAGATGTGTTTAGTAGAGATTTACAAAACTTCAGAAAATTAAGTTGTGAATATAGCTTTTTACTTTGTGGAAAATCATGGCTATCTCATATTCTTATCTTGTATTTTAGTATCAAGAATTTGGTTTGACAGTTTGAATCATATTAAAAATCACAGATTTAGAAAAAATGCTGACTAATGACAACAGTCATGATAACTCTTCGTTACATTGAAATGTTTTGGATTTTTTAATAAGCACACATTAGTGAATCTTGGAATTTATTTTCTCCATTGGGAGTAAAAAGTTGATCAATATTATAATAAAACATATCAGGATGATTTGGCATAGTGCCACATGCCTTTGATCCCATCATTCAGGGAGCAGAGGCAGGCAGATCTCTTTGAATTTCTTGTCAGCCTGGTCTACATAGTGAGTTCTAGGCCAGCCAGAGCTACATAGTGAGATGGTCTCAAAAAATAGCAATAAAAAATTGGGATTTTTTAAAATATTTCTAGCCCTTTATAGTATAAGGCAGATGTAAGAAAGCACCTGTTCTCACAGTGTCAAGGAGAAAATGTTTTGCCTCGTGGATTTTGCTATCTGGAGTATTTTTTTATTTCTTAAATTCTCATATCAGTGTTTTCTTTTACTTCTTTGAAAGTGACCCTACCTTCAGAAGATTGTTACTTGGTTTGAACTCTTACACTTTTTATCCTAAAAAAATTCTTTGCTTTTGTGATTTCATATATTTTCTTTTTTTCTACTTACCATTTTAAGTTGCTGACTTCTTATAAAATGCAGTGCTCCATTTTATAATGTTTTTATCGGAATGTATTCTTTGTATGTATTATTAGGTTTCAAAGACAAGTTGTTTCAGGTACATCATGTACTTGACAATATTCACCCCTTTCATTTTCCTCCCTTTTATGTCCCTCTCCCTTGCCCTCCTGTGAGTCTCCTCCCAGGTCTCTCTTCAGCTTTTATACACACACACACACACACACACACACACACACACACACACGCACTAGGAGGGGAATGGTACACACAGGCTCTCAAAAATTCACTCCTCCTTCAGTAAAACATAAGGTTGACCAGCTCCTAGCCAAACTAACCAATAGTAAGAGCCAGCAGACCTAAACTAATAAAATTAGAGATTAAAAAAAGGAGACATTACAGTAGACACCAGTCAAATTCAGAGAAATACTAGGGCATACTTTGAAAACTTAAATTCTAATAAATTGGAAAATCTAGAAGAAATAGATAATTTTCTAGACATATATGAGCTATCAAAGTTAAATCAAGAGAGGACTGGAGAGATGAGTGAGTTGTTAAGAGCACTGACTGCTCTTGCAGAAGACCTAGGTTTAGTTCCCAGCACTCACATGGCAGCTAACAACCATGTGTAAGTTCAATTCCAAGGGATCTGACACTGTCTTCTGACTTCCCTGGGCATTGTACTCACGAGGGATACTTTTCTCCTTCCACTTTTACATGGGTCCCGGGGATTGAACTCGGGTCATCAGGCTTGTCAGCAAGTGCCTTTACCTGCTGAACCATCTAGCTGGCTTTGAAGAAAAATACTTTGAACAGAGTTCTTTTTCCTTTTTACATAAGGATTGTTAGTATACAGTGGCATTGTTAATTTATTACCATAAATTTCCAATATGTTCTGAGTGCTGATATATTTGTATACTTAAAGCTGATGTAACTTTTGTTTGTTTGTTTTTAGAAGATTGAATTTTATTCTAAATCAAGTTAGTATAACCTTGGTTAGTTGAAATACTTGGTTTAGGTTTAGTACATAAAACCATTAAAAGGAATAAGACATTTAATTTTTGGCTTGATCTTATGTTTTTGAACTTTAAAAAAGAATAGTTATGATGTATTCTACCTTTTAAGTATTTTGTTCATAGTGTCACGTAAAATTATGAATTATATGCTAGATTTGATCAAACCCTGCATTAGAAAGATCATCAGACAGAGCAGATGGTTTTCTTAATGCAATGGCGTGGAGAAGAAACAGTCCCCCTGTTCTCCTCTTGTGTGGTAGATACTGAGCCCTGACCATCTAAGGAGGTAGAAGAGGAGTGTTTGCTGTGTGTTGTTGGAATTTTTTTGTGTCTCTGTCCAATAGTTTTTAATCCAGTGCTATAAATGAGCAGGTGTTAACTCCCTTTCCACTCCAAAAAATAGAAATTTAAACATTTTAGAAAGGGGATAACGCTGGGCTTGGTGGTGAGTGCCTTTAATCCCAGCACTTGGGAGGCAGAGGCAGGAAGATCTCTGTGAGTTAAAGACCAGCCGGGTCTACAAGGAGACCCTGTGTCAAAAAGATTAAAAAAAAAAGGAGATAACATTTCCTTTATGGTATTGCTGGTAATTATCACAGGGGAGTTTATAACTTTGCTTTGTTGAGTTTATACATCAGGCTAATTGAATATGAAGGAACTCTACAGTAACACTGAGGCTTAATCTCTTTAGCAGATTGTTAGAATTCGAGAATTTGTGTATCCTGACACCTTAAGGTTCTGTGAATCTAGTTTGATCTGTATCTTTTTTTCTTCCTCTTTTAGCCCCCTTCCTGTGTCATCCTAATCTCTGGATACGCTATGGTGCAGTGGGATTTATCACAGTGGTAGCCCATCAAATAAGTACTGCTGATGTCTACTGTAAACTGATGCCTTATCTTGACCCATATATTACCCAACCAATAATACAGGTATACCTGTTCCAACTAGTAGTCAATCCTTTCAAATTATGTCTCTAGAGTCCTTGTTTAAACTTTTAAAGAAATATTTAAGTTGGTCTATAACATTTTCATGTGCTTTTCAATCCAGTTAATGTTAATGAACTGGGCATCTTTGTGAGAAAATTTTAAGAGACTATTAGGTCACACGCAATATAGCATGCTGTTCATTTTCTTTGTGTAATAGTGTAAAATGCCTGCTTCTAGAGTTAAAAGAACTGATTTGGCCAAGATCATCACAAATTAGAGAAGTTGTTTGTATGGAGCTACTATCTGGATTCTCTTCCACCTACTCTTGCAGTATAGACTGTGGAGATAAACTTTGGGTCTGTGGTTTGTGCAAGCAGATTTCATTTATTCAGCTTTTTTATGCTCTTATTCTTCCAGGTATGCAAGTAAATCGAGTGGAGTACTGAAGGACAGGACTAGTACTAGTACAGGGTGCTGAAGCACACTAAAGTGTCTTGTTTTTTAAGCTCTTACTTTGTTTGGAAACTCACATGCCTTTCTGACCGTCTACATTGATACCTCAGTGTGCCTTCCCTTTGCTTAGAGAAAATGATCTTGGATATGCTCTAGAAACTAGGAAACTTTGGCCTTGCTGTCCTTTCAGGTTTTACTTTCCTCACGATTCATCCATTTCTGGGGATTGCCATTCATTTCATAGGGTTTATAGAACCTTTTAGTTTTACTCCAATAGCAGGTTCTAAAACTACTGATTTTATTATAATTCTATGTGCATATGTGTCTGTGTGGGCGTATATGCATGTGAGTGTAGGTGCTCAAGGAGGCCAAAGGTGTTGGGACCCCCTGGAGCTGGAGTTGTAAGCTACCCGACTTGGGTGTTGGCACCTGAATTTGGGTCCTCTACAAAGCAGTGTGTACTCTTAACCACTCAGCCATCCCTCTAGCCCCCAATGGCAGTTTTGTATACATAGAAATGGCTAGTACTACAGAAAATATTCAGATGACTCAGCAGTTAAGAGCACTGGCTGCTCTTGCAGAGGACCTGAGTTTGGTTCCCAGCACCCACATAGTGACTGACAACTGTCTGCAACATAACTCCAGTTCCAGGGGATCCAACGCCCTCTTCTGACCTCTGTGGGCACTGCATGACACAGGTGCACTTACATGCAGGCAATACACTCATACACATAAGAAATAAAAGTAGTAAAGTATTTTTTATTTTTGTTTTATTTTATCTTTGTCTTTTTGAGACAGGGCTCCCTATAGCCCCAGCTGTCTTGGAACTCACTGTGTAGACTAGGCTGGCCTCGAACTCAGAAAGATCTGCCTCCCTCTGCCTCCCAAGTGCTGGGATTAAAGGTGTGCACCACCACGCCCGGCTAATAAAGTATTTTTTAAAAAGAAAATATGCAGTGCTAGGGATTGAATTTAGAGTTTTGTGCATGGTAGGCAAGTGCTCTACCACTGAGCTATATCTGTAGTCCCCTGCCTCTTCATTTTTTAAATTTATTGTTTTATTGGAAATCAAATACAAAGATGCCCACTTCTTTTGATTATTCTATTTGTTTATCAAACTTTGCCTTTATCATTGGTTTAAATTTTGAAAGGCCAGGATGAGGAATTGAATAATTATCAATTTGTTTCACAAATCTTACATTTGTTCATTTTAAGATTTAAAAAAATTAAAAAATTTTGTTATGTATATGTGTATATGTCTCCATGTGGTTTTGTGCATCTGAGTGCAGTGCCTGTGGGGGCCAGAAAGGCACCATATCCCCTGGAGCTGGCTTTACAGGCAGTTGTGAGCTGCCAGATGTGGGTGTTGGGAACTGAACTCTGGTCCTCTGGAAGAGCAGTAAGTGCTCTTAATCTCTCTAGCCCCTCCCCTCCTTCATCTTAGATTTGACAAAAAGTACACCTTACAAGTTTCCACTGGCCAAATCATCAGCTATAATAGTTAACTAGATCCAAAGAAAGTCCTTTTTAGCTGGACATGGTGGTGCATACCTATAATACTCAAGAGACCGAGGCAGGAGGATTGTAAGCTCATGGCCATCCTGGACTACATAGAGAATTCAAGGCTAGTGTGGCTACATAGTGAGACCTTGTTTCTAAACATCAGACACTGAGATATATAGACCACCGGTAGAGCATTTGCATGTGCAAGATTGGGTTCTGTCCCCAACACTGGAAGGAAAAGGAAAGGAAGTCCTTTTGGCTACTGCTAGTAATAATATTTATCCTTTTCATTATATATGCATTGGCAAGGAAAGAATAGTTATGGCTAATAAGTGGAATCCTTTTTAACTCCATGGAGAGTAATGTTCTTAAGAAGCTGTTGGATCTACTGGGAGAATGAAGACTGAGGAGACCTGTGGACTGGTGTTTACCAAGATCTCTGGGTTAGCACCTACGAGTTAGTCCTGTAATGTTTACTAAGGTCTCTGGCTTAGCACCATGTGTTAGGCCTATGAACCACTGGTAGTTTTTAGATCTAGGAGCTATTTTGACCTATGGGGGTCTAGAAGAGGCTTACTTTGACTTTCTTAGAATCTCTGGCTCAGGTATTTACTATTATTCCCATAGTATTGATACAAATATATATTCTAGTATTGAAGAATAAGAAATGCTCCAGTCCTCCAAAGTTGGATAATATTCTAGTTTTTTTTAAAAAGTCTTATTTTCTTAGAAACTTCTGTTAACTTTTCACAAGTTGTGTTTACCAAGTTTGAAAATCATTGTACTATGTATTTTATTTTTGACTAATTGTTTTTACTTGTCTAATACAGATTGAAAGAAAACTTGTTCTACTCAGTGTTTTAAAAGAGCCGGTGAGTCGGTCTATATTTGATTATGCTTTGAGGTCTAAAGATATCACGAGCTTGTTCAGACATCTCCACATGCGGCAGAAGAAGCGCAACGGGTCCCTTCCTGACTGCCCTCCGCCTGAGGACCCTGCAATCGCGCAGCTTCTGAAGAAACTGCTCTCACAGGTCTGCGCTTCCTCGGGGATTACCTTTAAAGGCAACTTTCATGACAGTTTTGAAGCATCCAGCTGGATATTAAAAATGTTTTGGTTAGGTTATGTCATGGCAAGTGCAAACAAATGTGGCAGGCATGTATTTGCTATGGTATTTAAGGAGAGCTACCAGGAGACACTGGGTAGAGCTAAATAAGGAGTCATGGAAAGCCTGTTACTTCTTTGTGATTACTGACCATGTAGGAGACAATGAAACAGCCCGAGATCCCAGTTCTGCACTTCACCAGAATACAATGAAGTTCAGCTGGAAGAGTCATTTCAAAACAGTACACAATACAGAAGGGTGGTTTCATTTCAGCCCATAGTCATAGTTTTCACCACATGCTGAAATGTCTTGGTTTTACATTGTCTTAGTTGAATAAACCAGCAGGTTACTATTGTACGTAAGTCTGTGAATTTGGATCAATTAGCAAATCTTGTCAAAACTCAGATATAATCCTTTTGTTATGCTTGGCATTGGTAGGGCCTCTTTAGAAATACTAAATTTAGATTCATCCTTCTGTTTTATAAGGAATGTGTGGGATGCAGAAAGTCAGAATAGGAATAAAAGTGTCTTGAAATCAAGACTAGTTGCTGAGTATGCTCCATGAGTGTAAGACAAAGACTGAGGGATGGCAGTATGGTGATGGCTGCTTTTAGCTCTGCAGAATGTTTTCATAGAGAGAATGCTTATCTCTTATCTCTTACCTAATAAGAGGGCAAGAAATGCATTCAGAGATTTGTTTTGTTTGTTTGTTTGTTTGTTTGTTTGTTTGTTTGTTTGTTTGTTGAGCTAACCAGACTGGCCCCAGAACGCTCTTACCTCATAAGAGGGCAAGAAATGCATTCAGAGATTTGTTTTGTGTGTTTGTTTGTTTGTTTGTTTGTTGAGCTAACCAGACTGGCCCCAGAACGCACAGAGATCTGCCTGTGTCTGCCTCCAGAATGAGCTGTGCCATATAAATCTTTTATGCATTTTACTTGTTTGAATATTTGGTGCTGTTTTTGATGTTGTTGCCATTGTTGTTTATTTGGTGCTGGGGATTGAACCTGGGAAGCGCTCACCACTGAACACGTCTGCAGTCCCTCCAGTGCTGCTAGACCAGTAGACATTGATTTGAATGACTGAACTTTGAACAGGCTTCTATGGGAGGCTAGAACCATTTTGGGTGTTTAGAACCAGATTTTCCAGGAGGCCAGGCCTTCTGAATCTCTGTTCCAGAACAGAGGCTCCATTTCCTATATTCTCAAATACTTAATTTGATGGACTTGAATTTCTGAAGAACTGTTTTTGGCTCATATATTAGATGTAGCTTATATTTTAGAAAGCACTTTATGGAAAATTGGATTCTAAATCCCATTTTCTGTTGTTTTTCTTTAATAATCCTTATCAAAAAGATTTCAGCATGCAGTAAATTCTGTTCCAATCTAAATGTTTTTTAGACTTGGACGTTGTAATCTTTGTATCCTTCTTCCCAGCAAATCCAGGAAACTATAAACCTCTCTTCTGAAATTTTCCTTATGTTGCAATAGTTCCTTCATGGAGCCCCTTGGCCCTACTCTCCCCTCACTTTGCTGAGGGGTTGGTTTACCATTGCTGAGGGGTTGGTTTAACCGTTGCTGAGGGGTTGGTTTACCATTGCTGAGGGGTTGGTTTACCATTGCTGAGGGGTTGGTTTTACCATTGCTGGGGGGTTGGTTTACCATTGCTGAGAGGTTGGTTTAACCGTTGCTGAGGGGTTGGTTTTACCATTGCTGTGGTAGAAGGCAGGAGTAACTCCTGGAGCCTTCTTCCTGTTTCCTGCTGGTCTCCGGAGTGCTCCCAAGGCTGCTCCCTCAGGGTTAACTCACGGGGAGCCTTGATAAAATCACCAGACTGACTTTGCTGCCTCTAAAATTCAGTGCTTGGTGTTTTGTCATTTATCATTACATTGGTCTGAGTGAAGAAAAGTGGAACAAATAAACCTGTATTATGTTGTTGCTGTTGATAGTATTTGGAGACTCCCAAGGATTAGGAGACTGTATTCTGTTCCAGAGATTCTTGCTGCTAGGAGAAGAGCGAGCAGGCTAGAATCAGATCTCTGGTAAAATGGCAGTAGAGCCATTAGCTTCCATTTTCATGAAGACCCAAGATGAGTCGACCACTGTAGTTGTGCTTTCCATGTTTTGTGACTCCTTAAAACAAGTTTGGGTAGCTTGTATTATCTCTATTTTGCAGATAGAGAAACTAGAGACAAAGTATTGTTAACTTGCCTTGCTCTCAGAGTGCAGTAAGTTTTAAAGTTGGTGATTTCACCTACACCTAGCCCACTCGAACGTCCATGCTGCTATACTGGGCCATGTTCCCTCTCAAGTAAAATAAAGACAGAAGCCTAGATTGACAAGCTTGTTTCAGCTTGTTGTAGACTTATGCAGAAACCCACATTTGCAACCCTTTTTTCCACATTGACTTCTTTTTGGCCCCTCTGTTGTTTGTGTTACTTGGGATTGCTAGCAAAAGCTTGGAGCCAGGGGAGGTAGAATTTGAGTTCATGTTCTTAATGTCCAGGCTACAGACAGAAGAGAGCATTCAGCTTCTTCACATGGGAGCTCCGAATTCTTTTTCACATGGGGTTCAGCAGTGTTTTTTTTTTTTTTTTTGATCACTCTGTTTGAGGTGCATCATTGGTGAAGTAGAGGTTTCTAGACCAGCCTAGCATTGTTATTATGGGACAGTATGTTCTGAGGTTCACGTAACAGACTTGAAACAGTTTTTGGAACAGTAGCCATATGGGAGCTGGAATCTGTCTGGACTTAATTTTTAGCAGGATGTATCATCAGGATGTGACACATGCAAGATGCTTTTTAGTTAGAGTTCATCCACAAGAGCTTTCTGCTTTATGTCCATTTAATATGGTACTGATAAAGAATATAGAATGATTTCACTCCTTATTTTAAAAAGTAACAAATACATTTTAGCCCCCTTATTTTTTTCCTTGAGACGGTCTCACTCTGTAGCTCCACCTGGCCAGGGACTTGCTATGTTGTGTAGACCATCCCAGGCTGGCCTCAATTTCAGATCTGCCTGCCTCTGCCTCCTGAGTGCTAAGATTAAAGGCATGTGCCACCATGCCTGGCCCCATTTTTAACTTTCTAATGGATTCTTACGTTAGTGCTTTTTGACTGAGTAGTGCACATACAAGTGTCAAATTGAAAAGGCATAAGAAGATGCAAACTGAATTTTCCTGTAATCGCTGATCCTCAGTCATCCTCTGTTGATTGTGAATTTCATGTTGTTAGTGCTGAATTCCTTTATGTAATACTGGACTTGATCTGTCGAGTGGTCACTTGGAATCAGTTTCATCCTTTTAAGCCTTGCTTTTAGCTTTGTTAGGACAGCCCCAGAGCAAATTTTAGTGGACCAGTTTAGTCCCATTGAGAATGTGCTCTGTGGACATGATTATATGATGTTCTGTGTTTTTCAAAAGTTCTTTCACCTTTGGCTAGTGAACATGGACTGTTCTGCATTAGCCCTAGGAATTACTTGGCCAACTGTGACTGCCTTTGTTACTCTTTCCCTGACCTCAGGTAGTTTCCATATGCATTTGTAGTTTAATTTTCAGCCAAAGCACTGAGGCTACCCCTTTGGCTCCCTGAAGTGATCACTGTGTGCAGATCTCACTTCTTCATTTCTCTTCCCCCCCCCAAGTTGAACTTGTTGTTCTCTGGAATGCTTATCTGTTGTACACTGAGTTCCTTCTGCATAACCATAGCCTGGAAACTGTCCGGACAGTGTCTGGGGCAGTCATAGGACTCGCCTTTGGCCTTTGTTGCTCTTTCCCTGGCCTCAGGTAGTGTCCATATGCATTTGTGGTTTAATTTTCAGCCAAAGCACTGAGGCTACCCCTTTGGCTCCCTGAAGTGATCACTGTGTGCAGATCTCACTTCTTCATTTCTCTTCCCCCCCCAAGTTGAACTTGTTGTTCTCTGGAATGCTTATCTGTTGTACACTGAGTTCCTTCTGCATAACCATAGCCTGGAAACTGTCCGGACAGTGTCTGGGGCAGTCATAGGACTCGCCTTTGCCTTAGGGATTGCCTGTTTGCCATGCCACTTCCTTTTTTTCAGTCCACTTTTTGGCTTGTTAAAGTGGAAGCTGCAGTCTGGAATGTTGAATTGCTTGTTGAGCTTGGCCCTGACTAGCCTTGGTGCTAGGAGAACAAAACCTCCCACCTTTCTTTTTCAAAATTGTTTTGGTTGTTTGTGGTCCTTTACGTTTCCATATGCATTTCCTTTTGAGTTTTTCCAGATCATCTTGTCACTTTATAAAAAGAAAAACAACTTGTCGGTATATTAGTAGATATTGCATGGAGCCTATAGGAAAGAATTGAAGTCTAGACAGCATTGACTTCTCTAGTCCCTAAACGTGGCATATGTTATTTTATCAGGTTGTCTTCAACTTATTTCAGTAATATTTTATGGGTTTACTTTGTAAAACTTTACCCGTCATTTATTATAAATATTTTGGATGTTTATTTATTTAGTTTTTTTTAGTCAGGGGCTCCCTGTGTAGCCCAGGCTAGCCTTGAACTTGCAGTCCTCCTGCCTTGGCCTCCCAGGTGCTAGAATTACAGGGGTGAACCACCATGCCCAGCCTGGATGTTTGATATTTTTTGTTATTTATGTATTTTTTATGTATATGTGTATCTGTGTAAGTGTATGTCATGTGTGTGCATGTGCCTGCAGAGACCACAAAAAGGTGTTGGATCCCCTGAGACTGGAGTTACAGGTAGTTGTGAGCTGATGGCATGGGTGCAGGGAATCAAACTCAGGTCGTCTGGAAGAGCAGCAATCGCTCTTAGCCACTTAGCCATCTCTCCAGCCCCATATTTGATTCTTTTAAAAAATAAAATTATATTTGGCATATTAAAATTTACTTTCTTTTCGTAGGTAGTATGTGGAAAATTTTTATATGGGCATTATAAAACATAAAATTTCTTAGTTCTAATAATTTCTATATGTCTTTGATTTTATGTAATTTTCAGCTGTATAATGTTGGACTAGTAAAAGTTTCTTTCATTTTTTTTTCAGTCTGAATGTCTTTGTTTTTCTTGCCTTATTGAAGTTGTACAACCTACAGTACAATATTGTTAAATAGAATTTAAGATGTAAATTATGATACAAAGGAGAAAATGCCCTAGTCGAGTGTTCTAGGAAGGTCCAGAGTGCTGGAGTGTTCTAGGAGAGTCCAACATACTGGAATGTTCTAGGAGGATCCAAGTACTGGAGTGTAGTCTCCAGAGTGCTGGAGTGTTCTAGGAGGGTCCAGAGTGCTGGAGTGTTTTAGGAGGTCCAACATGCTAGAGTCTTCTGGGAGGGTCCAGCAGTGCCTGGGGTGTTCTAGGAGGGTCCAGCAGTGAGGAGGGTCCAGCAGTGCCTGGGGTGTTCTAGGAGGGTCCAGCAGTGTGGTGCTGCTCCACTGATGCATTCTTTTGCTCACTTCATTGTATTATTCTGATTCCTTAAGTTGTTTTTAATTGGGTAGTTAGTTGATTTCACCATCCTGAAACCTGTAGTTACTACTTTTGAAAATAACTCAAAATACATGTTTTAATTTGGTTTTAGGGAATGACAGAGGAAGAAGAAGACAAACTTCTGGCCCTGAAAGACTTCATGATGAAATCGAATAGAGCAAAAGCAAATATAGTAGACCAGAGCCATCTTCATGACAGTAGTCAGAAAGGTGTGATTGACTTGGCAGCTTTAGGCATAACAGGGAGACAAGTTGATCTTGTTAAAACCAAACAAGAGCCAGACGACAAACGGGGTTAGTACATTAGTGTGTTTATCTTGTTATACCTAGTTATTTCATGAGACTGATTTTTAGCCAATGAATAGTAAAACAAACTCCCCATTTCTAGACATAAAGCTTTGAAATGCAGTGACTCCATTACTGAATAGGTGGAGGGGATGGGGCAGAGAACTCAAAGTGGAAAGCCCAAGTAACCTGCCCAGATTGCTACCCTGACTGTACAAACCAAAGTCTGTTTCCAAAGCTCTGCCTTTAAGTAAAATCATGTTGCCTCTTGGAGTGAACAATTAAAGATGAAGTTCTGTTGTCTTTTCTTTTTGGTTTTTTTTAAGACAGGGTCTCCCTGTAGCCCCAGTTGGTCTGGAACTCACTGTGTAGACCAGGGTGGCCTTAAATTCACAGAGATCCACCTGCCTTTGCCTCCTAAGTGCTGGGATCAAAGGCCAGTCAAAGGCGTGCTCTATGCCCAGACTGAAGTTCTGTTTTCTAATCCATTAATCACCAACCCAAGGCCAGTCTTTAAAATCCAGATTGAAAAAAAAAAATCCAGTTTTTTTTTTTTGTAGGTAATGCCTGATGAATTTAAAATACTAGTTTTGTTATAAAAAATGAAATACAAAAGAGTAGAGACCACAGAGGCAGGTGGGTCTACATAGCAAATAAATAAAGAGTAAAGACCAAAGTATCCTTAGTCATTTGAAGACTAAATAGTTGCTCTTAAACTTTGTGACATTGACATGGATTCTATGAGGTTCGTAAACTCTTGTGTATTCTCTTTTTGCAGAAATATTTCACTGTTAAGTTCATGTCTTTACAATTCTTTGTGTTCATGTATCACATTTTGAAGGCAGAAAATGAATTATTGAAATAAACCCCTAAATGCCAAGTTTCAGATAAAGTATTTGCAACATAATTACTAATGGCTTACATAATACTAATGGCTTACATTAGTATAAGGTGCTCATACAAAATGAGTTAACGAAAAAAGCAAGCACTCCAAAAGAAAAAGGTGAAAGATTTAAACAGATAATTTAATTGATAGAACAGAATGTGTATAAATGAAAAGGTAAATAATTAAGCAAATTCAAATTAAAACATGCCATTTTTCTATGCAGATTAGCATAGACTGATTGTTAGTACTGGCAAAGTTATAGGGGAATAAGCTTTTCCATATGCTGGGATTATAAGTTGAACACTTATATCTGAATACATGCATACAGAGACATATGTCTGAATAAATGGAACCACAAAGGAAACAGGAAAGTAGATGATGGAAGGTCCAGCAAATAGGAAGAGCCGTTGTTTCCCCTTAAACTATAGGTGGTAAAGCACATACTGGTTTTACCTTCAGACTGACTATTCTAAATTTATTTTCACAGCTAGAAAACATATAAAACAGGACTCGAATGTAAATGAAGAGTGGAAAAGCATGTTTGGGTCACTGGAACCCCCAAATATCCCACAGGCCCTGCCTAAAGGGAGTGACCATGAGGTGATACAGCCTGGGAAGCCGCCCCGTTCTGAGTCCTCTGCTGGCATCTGTGTCCCTCTGTCAACTTCTCCACAGGTGCTGTCCTCTAGGCAGTAGCTGTCCTTAGTCTCTGGATTCCCTTCTGCTATTTGAGATATTGAAAGGCTGTGCCCGATACAGGAAAGATCAGAACGGTGACGTGTTTGGGGGATGATCTTTTTCCTTCTAAGACAGTTTAATTTTATAGCCAAGGGTGAAATCTAGTTATTGAAAGCATCAAAAGTGTCTCACTTAGAGAGTACGTGCCAGTAAAGTGAACTGAAATTGTGAATTGAAAACCTGAACTGTGATTATAATTAGGCTACAGTGAATTCTTTAAAACCTTCTACATCATCTTTATTCTTTTTTAATATAACAAAGAAGCCAAAAATACTTTAGGGATGGCGTTCCAAGTTGTCTGTGGATGTTAAATGTCATGACGTATTTGATATATTTGAAGTGAGTTTATAACTTAAGGTAACTCCACTCAAACCAATCATATTTGATGTGAAAGTTATTAATTGAATCACACAGATGATATAGTGTATGGATACAACACAGAAATGTCTTTATCTTAAAATACACCTTGCTTATGACATAGATAACTCTTTGCTTTTCAGGTTTCAGAAGTAGCAAATATCCCCAATAAAAAACCAGCAATACAAGTTTTAAGTAGCACAGTTTTACCATCTACGTACCAGATTCGGATCACAACGTGTAAAACTGAGCTTCAGCAGCTCATACAGCAGAAACGGGAGCAGTGCGCCGCTGAGCGCATAGCCAAGCAGATGATGGAGAATGCTGAGTGGGAAAGCAGACCGCCTCCACCTGGTAAGCCAAGGGATAAGTTAGCTGGGCTCCTGCCAGAACTTGGGTCTACTCTAGAAACATGATTCAGGGTAAGCATCCCTAATCTGACAATATTCAGCTGAAAAGTAGGAATTTTAGCATTTCCAGTGGCAAATTTTTGGTTATGGATGCTCATGGAAACCTTTGAAACCCAAAACGCTTCTGGTGTTTGTAAAAAGGAGTTTAGCCCGTACCTTACCAGACAACATGTACTTGGCAGATGGAGTAAGAACAAAACTGTCCCTTGAGAAGCCCGGAGGAAGAAGCAGTAACTGAGAGCTTAACTCATCCTTAGTGCAGTTTGGGTCTTTTTAGCTTTGATTGCAACGTGCAGTGTCACATGTAGGCCAGCCGCTTCATAATTTAGCCTGTCTGTGCTTTGTTTTCCCTGGGGTAGTGCTGGTTAAAATCTGCCCAATTTGATGTTGCTTTTCAGTGAATGTCGGCCTTCTAGGAGTAAACTGCTCTCAGTTCTGGAGATTTAGGGCAGGATATTTAGAACGTATGGAGACTTTTGAAAAGAACATAATGATGTATACTATTAAGAATTTGGCAAGAAATTTCCTATATTCTGAGGAGACTGAGGAGAAATTGGAGAGTTCAGATCAAAATGTGGTTTGCCTGTTTTCACTGTGATGCAGCAGAGCTTCTCTTTGATTCTGTATTTGTAAATTTTTAAAAATGAATGAAAATTTCTATATTTAGACCAGTGATAGACATTTAACTTGAAAACTCTGAGGACTTTTTTATAGACATTGAAAAGAATGACAAGAATTCTTGTGAGCTTTTATGTGGACTTAGAAAATACTAGTAGAGATCATTTAAAGATTTCAAGATTTAGGAAATATTTTTAGGTGCTAAGCAGAATCTCTAGTCAAATATTTTCATCGAAATAAAAATTCTGGAATGTTTAAGCTCTGTCTGGGATGTCTAAGTCAATATCATTTACCAAATCTGTTAAAAACACAAAAAAAGATGACTACAAACAATCTTATGATTCTCTCTTTATAAGTATCATTTTATATATAAGTGGAGTTAACATTTTATTCAGTAATCACAGGACAGGTGTAAAACTACATACATAAAATTTGCAGTGACTGTGGAGTTCTTGACGTTTTTATTTCCACACTTGAGTGGTTGTGTGAAATTGATTTTTCTCTCGAGGGGAGTGCTTACCTACCTCTAGGGTATGTATAAACTTCATGGCCTCTCTAGTTCAGTATATCCTTCAAAATCACATTCAGCTGTTGTTTGCTCACAAGCTACCTGGAGAGCCAGGGGAAGGCTCTTCTAGCTTAGAGGAGTCAGGTTTGGCTATCATCTTGGTTTCACTTTTGTTTCTAAAACCCACCCTGTGGTCTGTCTGGAGGTGTTTGTTCTGGTTAAATTTTTTGGTTAGCAGAAAGTTACTAAATTATACCAGCTATAAATTACAAAGCTTCAAATGATTAGAAGAGGCCTTGCTGGAGGGGGAAAAGGCGGGGGTGCTCAGCCACCACTCAGGTGTTAGAGATTATGTTGTTGCAGGTTGACTGTTAATAAATCAGCTTTCTCCAGGCACACTGCTAGATTAAAAAAAATTCATTTCTAAAATAACATTGTTACACAGGAATGGTGACGATACCCACTATAGGTATGACCGTTAGCATAGCTTTCTCTTTTATTTTAAAATCAATAATATTAAATATTATAAGTTGTTATATTTAGTTGAAATATTCATAGCTGTTGAAAACAGTTATGTGCAGGGACCTGTGCTGGGTACTGGAATCATTCAAAAAAGGTAAGACATGGTTTCTGGCCTCAGAATGTGTAATTTAGAGGAAATTAATCATATACAGAAAGAATATGTATAGTTAAGTGTGGAAAATTATAGCTGCCATTGAAAAAGTACTAGGTAGTCTGTGTAATATTCTGAGGCTATAATCCTAGCATGTTTATACCATAGAATAAGTGGTTGTATGTCAGGAAGAAATCATCATCTGGGTGTTTTAATGTGGCCTAGAAACAGTGTTGGACCCATACATTTGTTTATCCATATATTTACCCATTGGATTAAGTAATATATTCTCCATATTACATTTGAGAAAATGAAACTCAGTGAGTTTCAGTAAGTAGCCCAGGGTCACCCTGGTGTGCTGGAGCTGGAGTCTGGCAACTTTCTTCCTCAAAGGTGCCCTCCAAGTTGTTTCTCTAGGCTACAGATTCTCATTACTTTGTGCTTCTAATCAGAAGTCAGTGTTTTTCTGAGAACAAGTGACTCGAGTGCCCTCTTGGACACTGAAAATGGCCCTGAGGTGGTCTTTGTGAAACAGCACTTAATTGTTATCTTGATGTCTTAGTAGATACCATGTCATGGTCCAGCAGAGGGCTAGAAGTGGGACCTTTTAGGTATTTAGTTGGGCTTTTTTAGAGCGAGAGGGTGAGCATGAGTGTGTCTAGAAACCACAGTGCAGATATGCTCTCTGCTTTTTCTTAGGGTGGCGTCCTAAAGGGCTGCTAGTCGCACATCTTCATGAGCACAAATCTGCGGTGAATCGAATTAGAGTCTCTGACGAACACTCACTTTTTGCAACTTGTTCAAATGATGGCACAGTGAAAATCTGGAACAGTCAGAAGATGGAGGGGAAGACCACCACAACTAGGTAACATGATCAGAGTGAACCAGCTTAGTCAGTCAGATCAACGGTACTTACTGACGGCTTTCTCTGTAACAGAAGCATAGCTTAAGGGTGGGCAAAGGGTACATCAGTGCTAAGTGGACAAAAATCTTCCTGTGGAGCTGGCCTAATGGAGGTGAGAGACAGTAAAAAGTATAAGTAGAACACTGAAAACATTGTGTTAGATGGCAAAGGGGTGTGTGTGTGTGTGTGTGTGTGTGTGTGTGTGTGTGTGGTACAGGGAATGGAGAGTGCTAGGGTTGGGGTTTTAAGTAAAGTATCCAGAGAAAAATGAATTTGAGAAAAGAATTGAAAGAAGGGAAAAAGAGCCATGTGAATGTGTTGGATGTTCTGGGCAGAGAAGACAAATTCCAGAAGCCCTGAAAAAAGAGACCTTTTTGTCATTTTTAGCAGAAAGGTTTGTATCACTGAACTGAGTCAGCAAGAGGGAAGAGGAGGGACTGGTCATGTAGGATCTCTGGAAAGTTGTGAGCTGAACCATGACCCAAGGTGTCAGCAGAATGGCTCTGGCTGTTGTGTTGAGAAGAGCATAAGAGGAAAGCAGACACGGTTCTAGGAATATTCTGGGGATGAAATCAGAGATGGTGTCAGCAAGATTGTAGCAGTGCATGTTAAGGTTCAGATAGCCCCACCCCCTCACCAACAGGGCCTCAGGGACCTCACAAGCCCCTGAGAAAAGGGAACCAAGTTAATAAGCATCCTTGTCTTTGAAGTCAAGAGAAGCTGACTTTTCTCCACTGTTTGGCCAACACAGCAGGCTTCCCCTTTGATCTCTAAAGAGGGCAGGTTTTAACAGTCCAGCTCTTCCACCCCACCCCCAACTTAAAAAAAATATATATCTTCCCGCCTTCCACACCCCCCAGAAGCCTCCCCCTGTAAAAGACCCCAGCTCACAACCAGGGCAGACATTCCCCCACCCACCCACCCAGAAGGGAGTCTGTCCCATGTGATCCTTTGCTAATAAACTCTATTCCACTGGAGTTTTATCTGTGTCCTGGTGCTTTCTCCAGATCAACTGGATTCATCCATCGCCTACTTTACCTATCAGTGTAGATGGTGGGAAATGACCAAATTTTAGGTCTGTTTTGATGGTACAGCCAACACAGTTTGCAGCACAAATTAGATGTGTGAGCACAAGTACTGAAAACAGTGGAATGGCCGGCTGTGTCAGGTAAGCAAGGCTGCCAATCCTCAGACCTGAGGTCGTTTATGACTCAGTATCAAGACGTAAATACTGAGGTGTCATTTTGATAGACATTGTAAAGTATGTTAGACTGGGGTGACTTTATAGCCATGCTTCCCTCACTTGCCGCTCTTCTGCCTCCCTGTCTCAGTTCTACCTCCTTCCTGTTTGCTCTTTGACAGTATCCTTTCACCTGACTGACTTCTGAAGCTTTCTTCTGTTTTTCTCTTTGGGATAAAGTATTTTTTCCCCTATTTTGACTCTGCTTCACTACCCTTCATAGACGCTGCCACTAGTGTGCCATCTTCTACCTTGCTTTATAGTAGTAAAAAATAGAAGCACACTCAAGGTTCAGCAGTGGGGGTTAAGTTTTATAAATAAAATTATGATGCAACTATAAACCTAGTGTGGAAATAAATTGTTATTATGAAGGATGCTGAGTATTTTGTAAAAGGCGGGTGTAAGAGGAGTTTGTGTAATTCTGCTTTTGGAGTGGCAGTTAGGACCTCTAGAATAGTAAGCAAAGAAAACACTGGCAAAAACTGACCAACAAGTTTTTAGAATTCTGCAAATATCTAAAGTCTTGTATTCCTGAGTGTTTCATCAACAGACATCGTATTCTCAGAAGGAACAGTGAGTCTTGTGGTATTAATTCATCTCTTCTACTGAGCCCTGTGGTAGCCTTGAAAACAGTCCCACACTATGGCAGCTGTGAGAAGTAGCCCCTGAGGGCTCTAGTAGCACTGGGGGGCTCATCATGGCTTTGGAACGCCCTCAAGTTCCTCAGGCTGTTGTTACTATTTGACATCTCTGTTGGCTGACTGAAAAGCTTCATTTTCAGGGGCTAATTTTATTTGACCTGGCATAGACCTTGTTCTTCGAGAAAATCTCTACCTATAGGGCACTGTTGAGAGTAATCACCAGTGTTACCAAGTGAGTTCAATATGAGCCTGATTAAAAAGCTTAAAAGGAAGAGCCCAGGAGTGATAGGTGTATAGTGGCCTTTGAAATGCTGTAATGTATTTCATGGCATCTTTTAAGTCTTATGTATGTGCAAGGTTGAGCACATTCCCAGGAAAAAGAACAAATTGTCACCTCTGTCCAATTTTGAGGCTTGGAAATGAAAGCTAAGGCAGAGTTATAAAATACCCCAGTAATAAGCTGGAGCAGTAGCCACGCATTAAAAAGATTACAGACTACAGAATCATCCCAGGAAAGTTGTTAAGTGATAGTGAAAATTTTGAAATAATTACATTAATTTTGAATTCTCAGTTTTGAATAAAAAATTAGATCATGCAAAGAAACAGGAAAAAAGGCCTATCCATAGGAAAAAGGCAGGCAGTGGGAGCTGTCTCAGTAGTCCTAGACATTGGACCTAACTCGTCATGGACTTTAAGTCAGTATTTACAGATACATTCCAAGAGTTCAGAGAATCCATATTTAAAGAGCTAAAAGAAAATTGCCAGGCATGGTGGTGCACAGCCTCAGTAAAGAGAGATAAATGGCAAACTCAGGCAGACAATAACCCTGCATAGAAATGGGAAAATGCACAGAAGACTTCAATCTTATCTGAAGGAATGTTGGCAACTGATTGCTACTAGATGAAGATGAGCTGATCTTCCTAAAACAAGGAACTCTAGATAGGCTAACTAGACTTAGTGGACGGACTTGCACTAGAGAATGGCTGGGGACCCTGACAACCCAGTGGGCCTTAACAGGGATGACCAAGTGAGTACATGGGCTCCAGTGTGTGTGTGTGTGTGTGTGTGTGTGTGTGTGTGTGTGTTGGGGGTGTTATGGGAGGGTGCCAATGGGGGTGGGGGGTATAAAGATGATTAAGATTGTTTGAGCTGTTCTGTAAAAAATTCAATAATATATATATATATATATGGCAAAAAAAGAGAGAGCAAGAGAGATAAGTGACAAAAAGCAGAACTGCACATTTCAACCGGCAAGGAAAGAAAAAAAAAACAGAATTTGAAAGTAGACATTATCTAGTCAGAGGTACAAAAAGGAAAAGAACTCGGGATAAATGGACAAAACTAGAGGCCTGTGGGGCACCATCACGTTATAGTGTACACAGAACGAGTTCTAGAAACAGGTGAGGGAGAGGGGAGCAGAGTAGTTAAGAGTCCTTTGGTAGCTATGGGGATTGAATTCAGGACCCTCTGAAGATAAAAACCGTGTATGCATGCTTGACTAACTTAAAATGGCATAGTATTATTTGTATCTAACCTCTACACATCTTATGTATTTTTAAATCACCTCTGGATTACTTATATAGTGTAAATGCTACCTATGTAAGTAGATCTTATACTACACTTTCAACTTAAACTTGTTTAGGAAATAATAACAAAAAAAAGAAGTCTGTATATGTTCAGTATGGACACTTTCATGTTCCTGAATTGTTTTTTTTGGGGGGGAGGGCCTTTTTGAGACAGGGTCTCCCTGTAGCCCCAGCTGTCCTAGAACTCACTATGTAAACCAGGCTGACCTTGAACTCACAGAGATCTGCCTGCCTCTGCCTCCAGAGTGCTGGGATTAAAGGCATGTGCCACCATGCCAAGCTATTCCTGAATATTTTTAACCATGGTTGATTGGGCTCATGGATGCAGACCCCATGAATGCTGAGGGCCATTTGTATTTGAGAAAATAATGTCTAGAACTGGAGCGATGGCTCAGCAGTTAAGATGACTGCTCTTGCAGAGGACCCGGGTTCCTAGCACATACATGGCAGCTAACAACCAGTACCAGGGGAATCTGACATCCTCTTCTGACCTCCATAGGCATTGCATGGCATGGGTGCAGTTACACACATGCAGGCAATACACTCATACGCAGAAAATCAAAATAATGAATAAAATTTATGAAAAAATAATGTCTAAAAGCACCCTAAATTTGATGGGAAACATTCATCTGTTGCAGAAAATCAAAATAATGAATAAAATTTATGAAAAAGAAAAAATAATGTCTAAAAGCACCCTAAATTTGATGGGAAACATTCATCTGTCTACCCAAGATTTGGTGAACTCTACTTTAGGATAAAATCAAAGGACTATACCTGGACACATCATAAGCAATCTGTTAAGTGAGTGACACCAGAAACTTGAGAACAATGTAAGAAAAGTACTTCAGCCCATCTACCAGATCTTCAGTATAGTTAACAAGTGATTTTCATCAGAAGCAATGGAGACCAGATGCCAGTGAGTAGGGATGGGATGCTCAGTTAAGAACAGGCTGTCAGCCAATAGTCTATGTGTAGTAAAACTGTCCTTCAGAAACAAAAGAGAAGTGTACGTGCCTCGAGATAAATAAGAACAAAGAATTTCTTGCAAATAGATTTTCTCCTGAAATGAATGACCATGGCGTAGTAACTTAGGAAGAAATAAAGAGAAACTCTACTGTAAAATCACAAGCACATATGAACTAAAGCACGGACTATTTTTGTTTATAACTTTTTACCTGAAAAACAATTGTGTGAACAGATGTAACCAGACGGGAGCGCTTGCCTAGCCTGCACCAGGCCGCAGGTTCATCTTCACAACATCCACGCTGGGTTTGCAATGCTGTTAACAGTGCTGCATGACTGGTTGAACAGAAGAGAGAGGGAGGAGCAGACTAGGGGAAAGTTTTTGTGCATTTAAATTAAACTGGTATTTATTTGATTATTTTAAGATGTTAAGTGTATTTCTCAGAACAATTACTTTAAAAACTTGACAACTTTTAGTAGAACTCAAAAACAAGGAAGTTAAAATGTTTTGCTAAAAAATCTATTTCAATAGAAGGCAGCAGGAGAAATAGCAGAACAGAACTCAGTTAAGCCCCGCTCCCACCCCTCATAGAAAAGTGTCAGACATAGTCCTGCCTTATTGGCAATCACAGTCCCTGTAACCAAGAGACAGAATTGGTAGAGAGATTTGATAGATAATTCGATCTAGTTGTATGCTGTGCACTAGACAGACATTTTAAATTCAAAGGCACAAATAGGTTGAAAGGATCAAAAATGATAACACCATGTGGTACCGTAAGAAACAGGGAAAAGAAAAAATTTTTTTAATTTTAAAAAAGTTTTGTTATGAGTACATTGCCTGCGTTTGTGTAAGTGTACCCTTGTTGTGAAATGCCTGCGGAGGTCAGAAGTTATCAGATCCCCTGGAACTGGATGGTTGTTAGCCGCCATGTGGGTGTTGGAAACCAAACCCAGGTCCTCTTAAAGAACAGTCAGTGCTGAGCCATCTCTCCAGCCCCAGGAAAAGATAAATTTTAAGGTAAATATTGAACATGGAAACACAGACATTTTGGCATGACAGTTACAAACAAAATCTGTGTAGTAAAAACTGACAGACATGATTTTGGGAGACTTTAATATCCTGTTTTCAAGATGGACAGAACATGAGTTGTAAGACCAGCAGGGAAGTAGAAGTCTTGAACAGTGCTGCAGAGCAGTCAGTCCCGACAGACAGCGGAACACTCTACCTAGCAGTAGGACATAATTTTTTCCTGAGGTATATATGGGGTATTTCCAGACTAAGCATATATTTGTTGATAAACCAAGTCTCAATAAATTTAAGAGAACAGAAAGCATACAAAGTAGATTTGCAACTACAGTGGGAGGAAAATAAGGTTTCAGTTATAGGAGTTCAGGAAATTCACAAATAAAGGCTGATATGGGTCAAAGGGTAATTAGAAAATACTTTGAGATTAATGAAAATTAAAATGCAGCATACCAAAAATAGGGAACACAGTTAAAGGAGTTTTTAGGGCATGTGTACCTTTAAATATTATATCTTTTTTTAAAAAAACTCAAATCAATAATTTAGCTATAAGAAATTAGCAAAAGGAGAGCAGACATCACCCAAAAGAAGCAGAAGGAAAAAAAGACTAAAGAAGAAATAAGTAGAAAGTAGAGAACAAAAAGTAAGTGGGAGCAACGTGGGCTCCAGGGTCAGCAAAGCTCAGATGGCGTCCTGGGTTCCACCAAACATTTAAAAAGGTATCACCCGTCTTTCAAAAGGTCTCCCAGAAAATAGGTAAGAAACACTTAATTTGGTCTATGAGTAAATAGTACCTTGACTCCACAACCAGGGCACATCAAAAGGACGCACAGACCTATACCACAGTGAGTGTGGATATAAAAATCCTCATCAAAACACTGTACACTGACTCCATTATGAAAAAGATTATGTACCATGAACAAGTACAGTTTGTCCCAGGAATGCAAGGCTAGTTCAACATACGAAAATCAATGTATGTATCGTATGACTAGAATAAGGGTAAAGATCACACAGTCATCTCCACAGACTCTCCGAATGCATTTGGCAAAGTCTGCTCTGATTAAAGCCAGCTCAGTAAATTAATAAAAAGCCATCTACAGAAGTTGCTGCTAACGTTATACTTAATGGTAAAAGGTTGCAAGCTCTCTGAGAGGAGGAATAAGACAGTAATGCCCATTTTTGCCGGTTCCATTAAGGTTCTAGCCAGGGTGTTTAAGCAAAGAGAAACAATGTAGACAAGTGGTGGTGGGGGGTGGGCAAGATGAATTGTTCTGTTAGTAGCCAGCATGATCTAGCATGTAGAAAATCTTAAGCAATAATTTCTTTTAAAAACTAATAAATGAGTTCGACAGACTCACAGAATAAAGGCTCACATGTGCAAATGTGCATGTGCAAACATCTAAGTGTTAGTAGCATTAAAAGTGAGTTTTTCTGTATGAAACAGTATATTTTAAAATGAAATGGAGCTCTTTTTTAAAGGTTAAAACCTCATTCAATTTTATGTCTTACAGGGTTTACACTGAGTTCAATATTGTATAACTGTAATAATTCAACTGTGAACCTAAAAATTTACAGCTAATTTTGAAAGAGATGCATCTTTGCTCTGGAAATTGTTATTGAACATGTTAAAGCTGTAATGAAATGCTTCTTCTAATCATGTGGTTGTTAAATAATTTTTAAAAATTAGTGTTTCTTTCTGGGTGGTAGTATATATTTTTATCTTTCTGTATATTTTGCTTTTAATAATTTAAATGTGTTCGTGTATAAGGAAATAAGTTACAAAAGGCAGGTTGGTACATTGGGTGATTAAAGATTGTGTACTTTTGGAGGTAAAAGGTAAAGATAGAAATTATGTGGGGATAATGAAGACAAAGAGGTGTTGATGGTGAACATGCTGTGTAGATCAAGTGTTCAGAAAGCAAAGGCCAGCATGTGTGTGGGAGAATATAGTAAAGTAAAATTTGCATGTGTGAATGTTTTAAAAATCATTTGTTTTCTTCTGATCATTAGATAAGACACTCTTGTTTGTGGATGAGTAAGGTGAGGCACAGAGAGCATGACCAAGATCACATAGGTAGTTTAATAGAACTGTAATAGAACTAATATAGCTTTTCCTGCTATAACAGGCTGTGGGTTCAGGGTTACAGAATAACTGTAAGGTATGAGAGCTTAAATTGTCCCACAAGTTGGAGAATTGCACCAAGACTCAGTGAGGGTTCTGATTAGAAAAAAGGAGGATCAGTCTTATTACAGTTGGACAGAAGTGTTTGAAAATGGCCATTTGAAGAAGAAAACGTGGTTTTGTGCTGTTGCTTTTGAGGGTAGAGTCTTTGAAGTTTTGAGAATGAAATGGCCTTCAAGGTAGCAATTCTGTCTGTTAATAACCATGCACATACTTAGTGTTTGCTGTGATGTGTTCAGGTTCTTTCAGAACTGAAGGCTTTTTTTTTGTTTGTGTTTTGAGATGGTCTTGCTGTAGCCCCAGGCTGGCCTTGATCTCACAGAGATGATCCACCTGCCTCTGCCTCCCAAGTGCTAGGATTAAAGGTATGTGCAACCATGCCTGCCAGAATTGAAGTCATATTTCTTTTATTCAGGTCTATTCTTACATACAGTAGAATTGGAGGACGAGTCAAGACTTTGACGTTCTGCCAAGGCTCCCACTACCTAGCCATAGCATCTGACAATGGTGTTGTCCAGCTCCTTGGAATTGAGGCTTCTAAGTTACCCAAGTCTCCCAAAATCCATCCTCTACAAAGCAGGTACCTGTCATCTGTATTTTTTAACTTTGTGTTTTAGTGTGCTGTGGTAACACGTTCCCACACCTTGCAGTGTAGTTTGGATCAACTGGTGGTTCTCATGTTGTGTAATACTTCTTTTTTAAGCGTATGAAATGAATAAAACTGTTTCCAATCCAGAGCATCCAGTTGTGGTTAGTTTTAGAAGACAGTGTTTTTACATCTTAATTTCTGCTAGTTTGTCAGGAGGGCAACTTTGAGCCTGGACTCATCTTATCCTGGAATCTTTCTGAATGCCAATTATCAGTTGTATCTTTTTTTTTTTTTGTCTTTTTGAGACAGGGTCTCCCTGTAGCCCCAGCTGTCCTGGAACTCACTATGTGGACCAGGCTGGCCTTGTAGAGCCAATGATTACATGTAGACCATGAAATCCTGTTGCTACAAAGAATGTAGAACCGTAGATGCCATCAGAGATTGTAAATGGTGCTTCTAGGTGAACTCACAGAGATCCACCTGCCTCTGCCTCCTGAATGCTGGAATTAAAAGCATGTAACACCATGCCCAGCAAGACAATTTTTTTTATTTTAATTTTTTTTGCTGGCCACTGTGTTATGTATTGTGGATTCCATAGCCAAATGTAATACATTATGTTCTCACACCTCAGTAAAATACACCCCCCATACATA